TAAAGCTGTATAGTATTATCTGATAATTAAGATTTTACCTGGAATCTTATAGTGCGTCTAGTAATTTAGCTAGGGACTGTAAAGCATCATAAAAAAATTTCATTTAGATAAATGATCTTTATTTTCTAGTTATTCGATGGCAATCCTTTTACGAAGTTTGTGCACTGCAGTAATTTTTTTCTAAACTGGCAACACAAGTAAAATAGAAATCATTCTCGTCATAAATTCGAAAATTAATGTATCTGGAATAAATTTTAGAACATTACAGCAAAAGTTTTTAAAAAAATTGTATTTTTTATTTTATTAAATAGAGTATGATGAAGCACATTTTTGAAATAATATTACTTTTATAGAATTCTTGAGATTTAAGTATAGAACGACTTATAATTAAATATTTTGAACCTATCCATAAGTCATTTTTTTTTCCCAACCTGTTCCAATTACTTTGAAAGTGAGAGCACTTTATTCGCTTTAATCGAATGCCTAGAGAAATTGTTCGCACGGAAAATCAGATTTCCCGTAGTTCATTTTCATCGCTCGCAGAATAAGGGTTGGTAATTTGTAGCCCTTAATGGGAAATGTGCTGTCACCTCCTAAAATGGCGGGAAATAGAAACCGATTCTCCCGATCGTTCCAAAATCGTATTATCGGGGTCGGCTTTAATTCAACCCTCACCTACTATATATATATCTATAAAATGACCGAAGAAAGTATTTAATCCAGAATTTTGTTCTTTTTAGTTTTAAGTTCCGTCTTAAAGTTCTTTTTTGAAAAAGAATAATATCTTTAGAACTGCGGATTCAATCTATTTGAAGTAAATTTTTTTTTTTTTTTAACTTTATAATCGGCATGAGGATCTTATTTTCTTTTTTGAAAACAGAGTGGCATTTTTTTTTAAAATTAATATTCTGATTCCAAGAATATTATTGTTCCATGATGAGAAATAGTATAGATTTTGAGTCTTTTATTTTATTTTTTTTGAAAATTGTTGCTTTGAAAATGCTCAACGAGTCTATAAAGTTCTTTAAAAGACAAGCGACAATGTAAATTTATGCTTAAGATTATTTTCTTCTTTTACCTTCGGATTTGAAAAACCACCAACTGAAATATTTCAGAGAGACATATGCGTTTTGAGTCTTTGAAAGAGATGTTTCTTTATTATTCATTAAATAAGTTCAGTTTAGCAACAACGATTTGGAACTAGCTTCTAATAGATAATGAACTGCAATTATTTTGTGAAATGTGAATACTCACTTACAACGAATCTTACCTCGTCTCGGAATTGCAAGCTTGGATTTCTTATGATTAACCTTAAATAGTTTTGATTTGAACATTTAAACACACTAATTTTTCTGTGAATATGTTTCATATGTGGCACTGTGTGTAAATAGTATCTATATTTTGTATACTTTATTTAAATATGAAATTATCGTGATCAAATAAAGCTGTATGATTAACTTTAATTAATTTTTATTTGAACACCTAAGCACTCTAAAAACTGAAGAAAAAAATTAAAATAAGAAAACAAACAAACATGGAAAACAGAAATTGATGTGAAAAAACCGGAGCTATTGTAGTCGGCATATCAAATTCTGCATGTAGTCCTGGGTGAATATTATGATGGCAAAATTTACGTGTTTAAAATCAATAGTTCCAGCAATACTATTCCGAACACCTTTGCTGGATGTATTTTCAGAGACCTCGCTTTACTGTGGAAGAGAAGCTTCGTCTCCTAACATACCGTAAATAGCATATAGTAATATGAATGTGGAATGATAGTAAACCTCGTTTGGAAGCAAAAAAAAAAGTGTTTATTGTGCTATATATATACACCGAAGAGTTATTAGATTTTGACCACCCTCCATCTATAACAATGGGCTCGCCCAGGTTTACATGGTTTCTCGCCCCGGAACAACGTTTTCATGGGGCACATTTGGACCCATAATCCTCATAGAACAATCCCTAACATCTGTAAGCTACTTGATCATCGTTGCAGACCAGGTTCACACATTCATGGCAACAATTTTTCCTGTGGGTGATGGTGTTTACCAACAGGATAATGCACCATGTCATAAGGGTCGAATCGTCGAAGAACATTCCAGTGACTTTAAAGTCATGTCTTGGCCCCCAAATTCACCTGACCTTAATCCAATAGAGCATTTGTGGTCCTACTTGTAAAACCAAATTCGTNCTTATATTCAAAATTAATATTCATTTTTTATCAGTAAATAGTTATAATAATAAACTCAAGAAAGAAAGACGTATTTGTAAATTTCAATTACTTCTCCAGGTCTTTCATAGGTATGTAAAGAAATTTAAATATATTTTAAGTAAACTAAGAAATATTGAGAAAAAGGAAGAAACCTTGTTTCAATTTTTTTCTAATTATTCGATTTAAACTTTTTTTTTACTCAAGAAATTTTCCGGAATTTTGACTTGGGCTCACAATCACCCCTGCATATAGTAACGTTTTAAACAACAAAAAAAATGTGTTTATTGTGATACATATATATACATCACAATAAATATAAAAAAGACTGAAAGAAAATGAAAAATTAAGAAAATCAATGAGTTTTATTTATTGCGCATAAGCTGCAAGTAAATAGAACTCATAAAATAAGTTCAATATGTAGAGAAAACATGAAAAAAATTACATAATAATGAAAAAAGAGAAGAAAATTAGTTAAAAAAACAAATTAATAAAAAACCCGAAGAAAAGATATAATCTCTTTATCAGCTCACACTATTATATCCACAAAAAGGAGTGCTTTCTAATATTGTATCAATATAGCCGAAACAAAATATATCAATACAATAGTGTGAGGAGCACTCAAAAAAATAATTTTTATTTTTAAACAAAATAGAATAGTAATAAATTAGGTAATAAATATCACGCAAAAAACAGTAAAATAAACAGAACAAAACATAAGTCGACGTCTATACAGCGAGTTGAGAATTGAAATGAACTTGCGTGAACATTTCAAGAATGATTTAAAATATTTTCGTTATAAGATTGCCAGATTATAAAACATGAAAACAGAAGCGAAAATCTCTGTAAAAGCCTAAATAGAGGGATTTTGTTTTACAGCACGTTCTTAGTACAGTACTGAAGCGCTGTAGTTACCAAGAATTGGCCCGAAAATGGATGCGAGCAAGGTAATATTATACTGTTTAATTTAAAGATGTTTATAATTAAAAAGATTGATATTTAATTATACAATTTTAATGATTTTAGAAAATTAACTCTTATTTATGAAAGGGAGAGAGAAAGAAACATGAATTGCCTGTTTTGCACATATTTTTAGCTACGGATTTGCTCGAAATGGATTTGCACATGGAAAAAATTATATAAATCAACAAAGAAGTTTTTAGTAAATTTATTTACAATAGCATACATTTTTATTATCAAATTTTTTAAAGAGTTAGCCGATTTGTTTTTTTTTTCTTTTGGATAAATAAGCATTACGACATATTCTTTTAATTCTTTTCATTTGATTGAAAATGATATTTAAATAGATGTCTTTAGAAACATTAGAATTCCAAGTACTTAGTTTACTTATAATAAAATTAAAATAATTTCTTTTATCATATGAATCAACAAAGCAGATATTTTCTTATTTTATAATACCCAAATCCAAAAAATTTATATTATCATCATGATTACGAAGCAAGATTAATTCCTCGGGGTAAATATTTAATAAAATTGTATAATCTTGAAAATTAAAGATAATTAAATCACCAATTAATTTAAAAACAATTTTAATATTAAGATTCTGCTTTTTTCTTCATCATAATAGCGCAAAAATAAGTTAGTTGAGAGAGATAAAAAATTAGATCCTTATGGTATTCTATCAATTCGAAGAAAAATATCTTTTCCATTGTAAAGATAATTACTAAAAAGACAAAAATTGATTAGAATTTCCCAATAATTAAAATCGCAATCAAGGATATTTTTAAAATCGTACTAATAATTCAAAAGGACATTTTTTAGTTTAGAAAGAGGAATGCTATTGAAAAGATCCTGGAAATCAAAAGTCGCAATATAATTCATTTTATTTTGTTTAATAAATTCTAAAATCGTTTGATTATTAGTGATAATCCAAAAAACACCTTTAATAATATTGTTAAGAATTTTATTTAAGTAATTAGAGAAAATGGTGCCAGGTTTCATTAGGTAAGTATTAGATAGTGATCAGAGGACTATAAATATATTTTATGAAACAAAACAATATCTTAAATAAGGAGGAAATTAACAATTGGAACATTAAATCTGAGTGGCGTTAGGTGCCCCCTTAATCTGGGCGATCGCCTGCCTTGCTACCCCCTTCCTCCGACCTTGGATTTGAATACGTACGAATCCGATCAAAAGTAATTAAGATGTTCCTTTTTTTATTTATGCATTACACTTTATTTGCGTGCACGCTTTTTAGAAATAACTTAAATTTTAAGGTTACCGTTCGTTTAGAAAAGCTTAATTTTAAATTAATTATGACGTTATAACAACAATTAATTAACTGGCCAAAAAAATAATAATTAATAAATTTAGAAAGCAAAAGCTTTATCAGTCTTCGATATTAACCAAAATGGTAGAAAAAAACTTCGAATGATAATCAAATTTTAATACTGATATGAATGGAAAATTCCAGGAGAATTCATGCAATTTTGAATTATTTAGTACTTTTTTTGAATTAACGAAAACGTTCGAATTAAAAAAGATCTCCTATAAGAATATAAAAGGGTGAATCGCAAGTAAAGTTTAAACTTTTTAAAATAATCCTTTGCCTTTTTAAATTTCCTCCATTGAATGCTACATAAAATTTCATAGTGATGTCACAATTAGCAAAAAGCTACCGAAAGAAATTCAATTTCAGCTTCCTCTCAAAATGATTCGGGTTTTATATATAAACCTCAATACGCATGAGCGAGAAATGATTGACGTCGCAGTTCAACTTTTGCACCGCCTTATGCCACGCCTTTTATAAACCACGCCTATTGGACATGGACCTTGCTGTAGGATGATTTAGTCGACGAAAGGACTGAGCTCCGTGACTAACATAACAGTCAACCCGCTATTATTTGGAGTTCAACACGTGAATGGAAGGTGATTATAACTGTAGATCGTGATCAATTTATAGAAATCGTTTGCAGTTGGAGAATTTAATATAACATTTCTGGCAATTGCTGAATAGAGTCTTTATTAATTTGGAAATCGGAGCTGTCAAATCGAAACAGCATATAACAATTTAAAAAAAATGTACGAATGGCAATGGAAGAGATTGGTCTTTATTTTGCATAGTTTCTAAAAGTAGATATTCCATAAAAATGCAATTTATATAGCTTTCACATAATTCGAAAATTTTCATGAATGATTGCCAAATTTCTCGTCATTTGATAATGGAAGCAGTAATCTCATGGATTGTTAGATTCCAGTTCGTGTGTTTTCGAATTTTAAGTGTTGACTTTAAATCTCAATATGATATTTAAGCATTACTTTTGAGAAAATGAGTCAATCAAAAATAATTCTCTTGAAATTTTGTTAAAAAAAAAAGTTATGCTTTTATAGGAATTTTAATGGTTGCAAAGTACATTTTCTTTTTAGAAATGACTTGACTAAAGTTGCAGAATCTTCTCCGGTGTCAATGAAATCGAAAATCTTAAAAGTTGAATGATTTACATTTGAGACCTTACATCGTTTGGATAATTTGAGAGAATTATCGTCTGTTTACGGAATCCGTGATAAATATCGTCTGAAATAAATTGTTTCAATTTGTCCCATGAAGTTAGAAGCATAGTTTGCAAATGTGGTAATCAGACAAAACTTATCTAATCATGAAGATGATTATGTGTGCTGGCTGTGATTCTCCTATTTTGGACAGATATTTGTCGAAGGTGGAAGAACGTGCCTGGCACGCGAAATGTGTTAAATGCTGGGACTGCCAAATAATACTCGCAGATAAATGTTTCTCAAGGGACGGAAAACTGTATTGCAAACCCGACTTCTTTAGGTAAGTTATTCATTTTATAAATACTACTTATTCCTACTCTTACTTCACTAAATAGTTCTAGTTTAAGGTATTCTAGACCTTCTGCTTAGTGAAATATTAATTATTTTAAATGATTTCGGAGAGAAAAACTCAATCAAATTCAAATACTTCTATTTAATGAACTTTCATTTTTCGAATTTCTCCATTTTGCTATTTTTTTCGATGAACAAGAACATTTTGGAAATTTCTTCGTAAAATAACTTCCAAATAGCGAAGTGAATTTTCTATTTAACGAAATTTTCTTTGAGATCCATTTTCCCTATTTCCCAAAATATTTCAAACCATATCAAACTTGTTAACACAATTTATGGGGTAAATTGATTTTCGAAGAGAAAGCAATAAAATTCCATTTCCCTTTTCGTTTGCATTTAATACGAACAACTCAGACGAAATTAACGGATTTTATCAGTAGCTATTAAGCTTAAGAACACAAGTGGGAGTATATGTTTAAAATTATTTTTATAATAAATTCAGCTATAATTCGATACATAAATTTAGCTTTTTTTTTTTCAGTTGAAAATGTATGTAGCATGACAGTGTAACACTTATACTCTATTCTTGCTTTTCATGCAAATTTCTTCTATGGTTAAGATTTATAAAATAAATACTAGATACTAGTTTGCAAGATAAAGGTCTATCCATTGCTATTTTAATTATGCCTAGTGTTTAGGAATTTAAAACTTGTTTTGTGCTGTTTAAGTGTTTCAAAAGGTAATTTTCTATTTAACGAATTTTCCATATCACAAACTTATTATTGGGATTTAGCGACTTCGTTAAATAGAGGTCCGACTGTAATAAGGTTTTGAACTAATATTTATATACTAAGAAACGAATAATAAGGACTTTATGATTTTAAAACTTGTAAATAATTTTGTTTTGGAAAATAATATGGACTACATTTAAAGATTTCTGAAATGATTCGCTAATGTTAACTCTTACAATAATCACGGTTTAAATAAAAAGTGAAATATCTCAAAGATTTGATCATTAAAAGTATAATGTCTTGAACGGTTGTATAATTTCGTTCTCGAACTTGTGTAAATTCGCTCCATCCTTAATAAAGCTTAAATTGAACCAAGTTTCGATTCAAGTTAGACCGTATTAGCCAGTTCAAATCGAATTAATGTCAATGTAGTTCAATTTGGTATCGTAATGGGAAGAAAAAAAATGTTCGAAAGTTGCATCAAATTTGAATGATATAAACGCTGGTTCAACGTATTTCAAAATTTCTAGCGGTTTTAATCAGATAATTATGAGTTCATTTATACATTAAAAATAATCAAACGATTTCTAGACTTTTCAATATGTATAATCATGAAACCATTCGCAAAATTTTAAAGCGTATAAAGACGTATTCAAGTAACTCTGATTTGAAAAAAAAATTTAAAATAAGTAATTTTAGTACCGAATTAAATTGATTTATAGGACTAAGATGCTCAACACTCTGCTTGCTCCGCCCACCAACCCCCTTAATTGTTTGTCATTATTTTTTTGTTTTTCTTCTTAAAAGTCAACATTTTTCAAAAAATGAAAAAAGAACATTTTAATAAAAAAATATTCGATTTTTTTTCCTTTATGTTGTAACATTTTGTTAATATGTTGTTATTCATAACAAAATAAACGATATTTGAAAAATCATTATTTAACCTAAGGATTAACCTGGATAAATAGTTTTCTCTTTTGTTCCTTCTTAAAAAATTTCAATATAAATGTTACATCTACAGATTAACTTTAATATTCAGACTCAAGCTTATAAAATAAACAATCATATAAATAACAAAATGATAAAATAAAACGAAGCAACTTATTCGAAGCTTATATTTTTATAGTTATATTCTAAATATCAGTTTACATAAGTTTTACTTCAAAAAAACTGTAAAAAATTACTTTAAATTCTTGTCAGAGTGGGACATAAAAATTCATTAAAAAGTTTTGTTTGAATTTAAAATTTTTTGAGAAGTCAAATTTAAATATTTGATAAACGTATTTGTTATCTTCTTTTAGGATTTAACTAATCTAAGAAATAAGTTGGAGTTTAAGTCCTCTTCTCTATTATACTAAGAACGTATTACTGATTTTTCGTGCTTTTTACAAGGAAAAAAAACATTTTTCGAAATTATTTAATATCTATTATCTATTCTATTATCTATCAGCAATATCGCATGGTGTTGAGATTTCTCTATGTACTGATCATTAAAACTTTACAGCATTTAAATATATATATATATTTTTTTTTGTGAAAGTAGCTTATACAAGAATGGTAAAATGTTAAATTTAACTGAAAGTAAAATAAAAAAGAATATGCATATATTTTTAGAAAAAGTATACAGTTATTAAACCAACATATTTTTCATTTGAAAGGTTAGAATAATAATACCTTCTAGAAAGATTTTTATTTAAAATAATTTTAAAATGTACGATTAATTGTCAATTGCAATATGCATAAGTAAAAATGAAATTTGTTAATGGTTTAAAAAAAAAAAAAACTATCATATCGTTTCTAAAGTTTATTTAAGCGCAAATTGATATTTCCTTGTAATCGATATTTCAGTTTCCATTGTTTCAAATTAGATACGGTATCACGATAAAATATAAATTTTGCTTTAAAAATAATCAAAGCGAATAATGGTTTTAAAAAGTTGATAGTTTTTTAAGATCCATTACACAAATGTTGATACATTATTTTTAAATTTATATAAAATACATATACTGAACTGTTTATTTCATTTGATTAATTAATATCATTTGATTAATTTGAAAAATTCAGTAATACTTTTTCGTTCAAATTTCATTTTTGAAAATAACGTTATCAAATCTTAATTAATTTAAAAGAAATAAATGTCAGAATAATTTTTTTTCTTGAAATTAATGTAACAAATCACTTTGAAATCAAAGCATGTATTTTTAAATTCACAATATAGAATTTATTTTTGAAAAATAGTGTTATTGAATAAGATATAGTTAAGAATGTGATAATTAAGAATAAGATATAGATAAGTAACTAAATTTCAAACGTTCACTAAAACAAATATTCATTTGTAAAAAAATGGGTAAAAATATGTGAAAATAGTTCCTAAAGCAAATAATGGTCGAAACCCCCAAACTTTAAACTGTGGAGCTAGAAATGTGTGTAACCATCATAGCTATATCTTTCCATCTTGGATCCGATAATTTAGTTAAAAATCCGATAGTTTATTTTACTTTTTGCTCAGGTGTTAAAACTTTTTAAGCACTGTGGCGTATAAAGAAAATTCAACTTCGGAGTAATTATGACGCATAATTTTTTTTATAACGCAACCACTAAGACAAATATCTTGAAAAAATTTTTTATATAGTAAGTTAAGTTAAATAAGTAAGTTTTATATAGTAAGTTAATACGTAGCAGTATTAACAGTATTAAATTGAAACGTAGTTTTTTAACTTCAGAATCAAACTTAGATTCATCAAACGTACATGAAATTGATTTAAAGTATAAAAAAATCTACTTTTCTCGAAATGTACCGTGTTAAGCATTTACGTTGTTTTCTCAACTGCACGACTGATAACCATAGATGCAGATTATTATTAAAGGCGAAAAGAATCCGAATGAAGTCAATGTGTATTACCATCTACAAATTATATTTATGCAATGTTAATTGCTTTTTAAAATTTTATGTTCCAATCTTTCATTCATACAAGCATTATTTTAAATTGATATGAAGCAAATTAAATAACTAACATCTCTTTACAGTCTATCTTTTATTCGATGGGTACCCTGAAAGTACGTGTGGGAAGCGGCTTGTGCGCAATGCTAACCCCTATAATCATACCATTGATCACAGAATTATGTGACGCTTACGTTCGTGACCTCCCTTGCCTACAACGGGCTGTTGCGAGAAGGGTTTACTTTTGAAGTCACTACTATGCACAGTTTTAATTGCAAATAGTTAATAATTGCGATTTTGATTTTTGGGAAATTTGAATTAATTTTCTTCTTTTTAATAATCATCTTTACAATGGAAAACATATTTTTATTCAAATTGACGGAATATCATAAGGATCTAATTTTTCATCTTTTTTATCTAACTTATTTTTGCACTATTATGAAAAAAAATTATTCTCTTTATATTAAATTTGATTTTAAAGCTAAATTAAATCTTTTACTCATTATTAAATTTATATTATATTCTCAATCTTTTATCTAATTAAGTCTAAATTAAATCTTTTACTCTTTATTAAATTTATATTATATTCTTAATCTTTTATCTAATTAAATATAAATTAAATCTTTTATTTAAATGAAATCTTTTACTCTTTATTCAATTTATATAATACTCTTAATATTAAATTTGTTTTTAGAGCTAAATTAAATATTTTTTTTATATAAAAAATAGTATATTATTATATTTCAAAATGGATATGCCCATAGCTAATATCCATTTTGACTTCTCATTGATATTAAATTTTATTTAAAGGAATCTAAAGTTTATAAATTTATTAAATTGTCAATAACAATTTTTCCCTTAGTGTGTCGGAGACGATCCTAAAGATGCTCTATAGGTGAAATTGATAAACACGTTATAAAGAGAAAATCGTGAACAAAAGTTTGGATGATTATTTTTTTTCTTCCCTCAACGATAACGAAACTCGCGAGAAAAAGAATGACTTCCTCTTAATCAGCCTAAGTTTAAGCAATTTTTGAATAAAGGCTGATTTATAGTAAGCATCATTGAACGTTCTTTAAAGATATTTTTTTAACTAATGTAACTGAATGGTAGTAATTAATTTTTATTTTATTTTATATAATTTAACTTTCAGAGATTTTTATATACAGTCGAACCCTGTTATAGTAAACATGGTTTATAGTGAAATTTGACAAAAAGTTCCATGTAGTTATTTTAAAAATTACACTCCTCTTATAAAGGAACATTAACTGAGATGAAATTAAGCATATTTAGAAATACAATCCAACCCCGTTATAG